GTCGATGCAAACAAACATCTTTCAGAACATGAAAAAATAATGTTTCCCAGATTTAATAAAGTACAAAAGGAAACGACGAGGTGAGGAGGTGCTGGGAACCACTGGGTGAAAATACACCATTAGACGGGTTTGGAGTCTGTATAAAGATTCTTACGTCCCAGCAATGCAAGAGAATGTAAATATAATGATAATAAAAGTAAATCTGAATTACTGTCAGAAACATTTGTACAGAGGAACGACTTTACAGAGAAATATCAAAATACTTCAGGATGAAGAAGATACTGAAGAAGATCCAGTGTGAGGAAGGTTTCCAGCTGAATCTGAGCCGCAAACAAGAAAAATCCACTCCACTCAGTGTTAGCATGGTGTACCTAATAAATCGTCCAGTTTTTAACAAAACTGTTTTAAAAATAAAAGTTATTTATATTTATGAACATGTTGCTTTCAGAAAGTCACATTTTATCAAATAACTCGAGATATAGTCCACGTTTCCATGGTAACATCATCAGAGCAGAGTAACAACGGGAAAGCCACGCCCACGGGTTGTTGAGAAACACTGGCAGACAGCTTAAACATGAAGTGAGCCGCAGCTTGGGGGAGGGGGGGCGTTGTAGAGCTGGGGGGTCAAACATATGTAAGAACAGGAAGGGGCGTGTTTGGAGGCGTGTTTGGGGGCGTGGTCCTGCTCCTGAAATTCAGATAGTTTATCTCTAATTAATAAAGTCCCTCAAAGGCTTCCATACAGAGCAGACACGCTGGGCTCTGATTGGTCCTCACACGTAGACGCTGTCTTCATGCTGGGAGGAAACTGTAGGACTGCAGGGAACTGTGGACAGGAAGAAGATTCACGTTACTGACGGTGATCCTGATCAGAGCAGCTCTGCCAGTCCAGTGCAGACCTTCATCACTGACGACACAAAAGATTTTAACCTCAGAAATGATCGATGAGAGTTTAGGTTCTAATGAAGCGTGAATAATGAGAGCGGTAAACACACTGAGCTGATGACGCGAATATTTAATTCAACTCCATCCACCAGCCTGCAGTTCCTCTGGTGTCCAGCAGAGGCAGCAATGAGTCAGTCGTCATAGACTCCCAGCCTGATACACACAACAGCTGATTAAATCACATTTTTGCATTATTGGGGGCGTGGCCTCTGTGACTGACAGGTGGCTGTAGCTGCTAGCTTCACCTGAGCTGTTGGAGTGCCAGAGGAGGCGGAGCCAGAGTAAAACTGAGCTCCAAATAACAGCATGGAGGTCAAACTCAGAGAGAGCTTCACAGCATTTCTATTGTTTCTATTGTTTCTACTTTGTCTCTCTGATCACTTCCTGTCTGCGTGCTCAGACGAGCTGCTGCAGTCTGTACTGTGAACACTGATCACTGAAGTGCTTATACATCAGGGTCAGTATGTGCCTACCATAGAGGGGCTCTTCCTCCGGTTTCTTCTCCTCCTCCTCTTTGTTGCCCTCCATCACCACATAAATGTTCTCCTCCTTCTGACCTGTGAGCAGATTATCACTCAGTCAGGTCTCCTTACCAATGATCTGCTGTGGAGCCAGAGCTGTCTCTGATTGGCTGCCATACCTGTGGTAATCTTCCTCTGAACCCTCCTCTTCCTCAGGATGAAGACCACGATGAAGAAGAGCAACAGAACCAGCAGGACGACGCAGACGGACACTGAAGACACCACATGGCTGCTGCTGCGGTCTGAGGACACAGAGACACAGCTGATGACATCACAGCTGATGACGTCACAGCTGATGACAGCTGATGACATCATGTGTGGCAGAGGGAGCAGCTGAACATCAGCAGCTCTCCTGGTCTCTCTCAGGTGCTGACACCGTGGTTGTGAAGTGGCATTATTATAAAGGTGAGCTAACAGCTGATGAAGTGCAGATGGTCACATGACTCGCACAGACTCACAGATCTGTTACAATGACGCCATGTTTGTGTGTGTTTCACAGTGATGTGTGTTATTGTGTAACAGTTGTGATCAGGCATCCACACAATGTCCACCTGCACACAGGTTATCTTCATCATTATCATCATCATGAAGTGTGTGTGTGTCATCGGTCAGTTCAAGTCTTTTTGGGCTGTTTCAAAACTGTGCCCAAAGTTCCTCGCTGTTTC